AAAAGACCAGGTGTAAATGCCTTCCAAAACACTTTCGAGGCGGATTTCAATTCCAGATGAAACTGTATAATTGTAAACGTAAGTTTTACTCCTCCCAAAATGTTAAAATAACATGTGAGAGCGTGTTATAAGACATAGCCAGATAACTGCCACAAATGAAACTGAAAGCAAGTCGCAAACACTCAACATACAATCATCTTCACTAAAAGTAGTAACACTAACTTATCTTTCCAGTGCTGATGCCGCCTGTTGTGGTCTTTGATCTTGAAATTAGCTGATGATTAATAAAATGCAGCGCATATCTGGTGCCTTCATTGACGTGAACTTTGTTAAATTTGCATATAGTGCGGGAATTGAAAATCGCACTTACACACTTACGTTTTGTGGAGACTATTTTATTACAGTTTTACTTTTTAAACGTTTTTGTTTTGACAACACACTTCTTACAACTTACACACTTCACACAAGTTCTTATTTATGTTTTTTTTTTTTTTTTATGGAACAAATACATTGGTAACACTTTACAATAAGGTTCATTAGTTAACATTAGTTAACTACTTTAGTTAACATGAACTAAGAATGAACAATACTTCTACAGCATTTATTAATCTTAGTTAATGTTAATTTCAACATTTACTGATGCATCATTAAAAACTAAATTTGTGCTTGTTAACAATAGTTAATGCACTGTGAATTAACATGAACTAACAAGAGAACAACTGTATTTTCAGTAACTAACATTAACAAAGATTAATAAACACTGTAATAAATGTATTGTTCATTGTTCGTTCATGTTAGTCAATACATTAACTAACATTAACAAATGGAATCTTGTTGTAAAGTTTTACCAATACATTTTATGCAACAAATAAATGGCTTAATGTTGCCTCAGCAATATGTTGTCTGTTACAGGTTTTACACTGACGTGAAAAAAAAAATTCTTTTTTTTAATAATATATGAATCTTAACATTAATCTTATCTTAATTAATTAAATTGAGTTAACAATGCCTAAAGGAATAGTTCACACAAAAATGAAAATATCCATTCAAGATGCATCAGCTGTTGACTCTCATTCTGATGGCACCTATTCACTGCAGAGGATCCATTGGTGAGCAAGTGATGCTAAATTTATCCAATTCTGTACCGATAAAGAAACAAACTCATCTACATTTGGGACGGCCTGAGGGTGTAGCAGATTTTCATTTTTGGGTGAATTATTCCTTCACGTTTTATGGTCAACTAAAACACATAAGTAAGCTACAACACAAATGTGATGAACTACTTTGCTTGCAAAGTTAAGTAATTAGTTTCCGCAGGTTTTCCAAGTCATTTCAAACTTAAATAAATAAAGAATTTAGAAAAGTACCAGCTGCAGTAAAAAGCAGGTTTGCAAAGTAGTGCAATTCTAAAAGAGCACAATCACTGCACTCAATGCAAACATAATCAGTCCAATAAACAGTCATTTAAATACAAACAGCATTTTACAAGGTATCAAGTCAAGAAAAGCGTTTGTTCATCACTTCAGTGTGTTTCATAACACTACAGCAGGTTGGAAGGGCTGCCCTCTGTATCCTCAACGTTAAGAACAGAAGACCAACAGTTATGAGCAATTCCAGGAGCATTTCCAGAAAGCCTGCTAGTGATTAGAAAATGGCCTAATTTGCTACTTTAATGAATTAAGTGAGTGGAGCAGATTTTAGGCCAGTGCTTTAGTGGTAGTGATAGATATGTGGACAGACCAGTATGTGTAAAGCCAGTCAAGGTTGTCCAAGCGAACTTGTGCAATCAGACAAAGTGGCTTGAGCGCACAGAGCCAACCCAGACTCAAGCCAAAAATGACCACTCCCTAAGACCAGAACAGAACCAGCAAGGTCCAATGAGTCCACAAGCCGTTACTACTACTTGAGCTGCAAAATTCTGTGCAAACATACTGCAGTAGAGCAGTGCCAGGTGGAAGTGATAGTTGCTAGTCTACATTTACAGAAGTATGAAACACTGTGGGAGGAATTCGCTAAGAACGAGCACAATCTCTTACTTCCTCGCATCCTTTCTCTCGCCCTCCCCTGGCTTTACAACCTCCTTGTCTAAGGTACTGTAAAAGATATTCATAAAATAACAGACACCATCTGGCCTGCTGGCATTCGCTGCTTTTTATGAGGATTTAATGATGGCTAAATATTACTGTCAGCACTGAAAGGAACACTTCAAATCATTCATTGATATTCCTCGTAAAAGTACCATTCAAAAACCCACATTAGCCAAAGTTGCCAAAGGCCATAGTAAACCTATAGTGTGTGGATCATGCTCTACTGGGACAAAGTAAGCCATAGAGAATATCAAACAACAGTCGTAAAATTCATCGTTGGCTTGCAGGAGAAAAGTCGCGTATGTTAATTGGTGTTTAATATTTTAAGGTAAGTGCAATGTAAAACATGCTGTGCACACTTTGTTCTCCAAATCAGCCCATTATAAATTATTATTTAAAGTGTTGTCAACGTTTACAGTGCCTGACTCTGCAGAAGAAAGTTTTGTGAACTTGAAAAGTCTACAAGCAAAAATAATTTCATAAGTTTTTTTAAAGCTCTGTGGCACAGCACCACCCTGTGAGTGAAGAAATGAAAGTGTACCACCAGATACCTTCAGACAGATGCCTATGGCCAGACATTATACCAGAGGTCAAAGGTTTCAGAAGCAATCCATCACAGAGGTCTTGCCTTGAGAAAGGTCATACTGAGGATATCTGTAAACCTACATTAACAGCCCCTTAGCTGCGTGTGTGCTTACAGATTTACAAATGATCTGCATGACTGCAGCAACACACATACACGCTCTGTTCCAAAACCTAGCAAGTCGCCTTGCTGGACTGTATGCAGCCTACATAAACAGCTGCCTTCTAAGGCCAAAAGCATACTTCGTTTTTATGCATCAGCAAAGTATGTGCAAAGCCAGATTTTTCTAACCATGCAAATTCTGTATGCTTAGCTCGCACATGTGCCTTGAATAATTTTGTGAGTGTGAGTGTGTGTGTGTGTGTGTGTGTGCAATAAGTTGCTCCACAAGTTGCCAACACTAAAGAAACTGAAGAGATAGAACAATAACATCATCAAACTATTTATGCCTGCGTTGACGAGCACTTGACAAGAACTACAAGTTGCACACTGAAGACTTGGCTTACAAATGATTTTAACAGTTTGGCTTTAACATGTTGGTAACATTGTGATACTCTAATAAGCCTAAAATACATAGCACGCACAAATACTGTGTAAAAATGTCCCTTCATAATTATATTAAACATTTTATCAATATATTCTGTAGTAAAATAAATTGCAAACAAATAGGCTCTGTCCCAATTGGCACACTTGTTGTGTAAGGGTGTAGAAGTCATCTTGCATACTTGCAATGGTCGTCGCATATGTATGTCTATGAAGTGTCACCATTTGTCATTTAGCGTTAAGAAACCCAAGCTCGTTGGAAAAATGTGCCTGTGGCGACATTTCTGCAAAATGGTATTACGTTGCTTCTTGCACATTTTGCAACACTTTTAAAGAGTGGCACTAAAAGCATGTTCAGTTTTATCTGAAACAGATTATCACGTTGGTTGTTGGGTGTATTACAGCAATTCAAAACTTAAACGTCTAGGGAGTGGCACTAAAAGTTAAATTATCGATGTTGATGAAAATAATGTACCACCTAAATTAAACCTAACTGATAGTGTTAGCAATGCAAACGTGACACCAAAACACATTTGCAGAAGCAACCATGCCATTTGAGCTTGCTTCTACATGTCTTCTATCTTTTTTTTGTGACTCTCGTTTCAAGTATAATGCCATAACAGGTGAGCTACCGAGCAAGTTTACTACATCAGAAAAGATGTACATATGGAGCTGGTTATGTGATGCAAACATCAAAATGTATCAGTTTACAAATTACGTTCTATGGTAAAAGTGTTTAAAGATCATAACATAGTACTGTGCAAGGAACCATACAAAAATAGGTCTTTATTAAACAATAATCTGCCCCTGTAATTAAACTTTGTGTGAAAGTTATAAATGTTGGCTGTGTTGTACTTCCACTAGTGTTCCTTTCAGCTGGAAGCCGCAGTGAATTTTATGGTAATTTTTTGAGTTTTGTAAAAATGTAGAGGTACATTTTTCCAGTGAGCCTAGGTTGGCATTTAGGTTTCAAAAAAAGTGTGCTGCATTTGGGACATAACTGACATTTTGTTCACTTTCCCATCTTTTTTTTTCTTACAGGCACAATGCATTCTGAAATTGCCGTTAGAATTTGACCAATGAAGGAAGCTAAATTATACCATTCAAACTGGCTTCATGTCTTTAGCATATAATGCCTTAAAATATCTACATAGGCAGTTTACTAAGTTTTGGAACAGAGCCACAGACACTCACTTCCAAAAAGTGAAAAGTGAGAGCACTGATGAGGTGGTATGTGGACTATTTAAAGGTTCTGCACTGGGAGGTCTTCCATGAGGGTACCACCAAAGATCTGATTACAGACACCACACATGCAGTCACTGCATCCTGTATGTGTCTCGCTTGCATATGTCAGCAATATTCTGGGAAATTCCATTATGACTCAACTGTGCATTCCAGTAGATCTCCACTGGCTTATCAGCTTTCTGTAATGAACTGTGAGTAATATCACACTGCAGCAGCTTGAACGAAATGAAACAATTTACAGTAACTGTACCACTGTGTGTGCATGCATTCTGTTTCTCATAACACGTCACTGGATCCATTCATACTGAAGAGTCATAAAATATTATGTGTATGGTAAATTAATCCAAAGTGTGGTAGTTTTGTATGTTATAAAGCTTCATTAAATATGAAGTGCAAAAAATTCCAAACAATGGCACTATTATTATTTTTTACAAAGATCACAAATGGGAATTTGGGAAGAATCACTATTATTGCAGTTCCACACTTTACCTTTAAGGAAGTACTAGTGTAATCAGAGAAAGGAGGTCACAGGTGGTTCATACCGATGTCATAGGACAGGAAGTCAGAGGAGAAGCATTTGGCCCCATTACTGAGTGAGGTGTCATTATGAGTGTTTCCCCCGAACACCAGCAGAACTCCACTGATGAGCACAGTGGAGTGGAGGTATCTTGCCAGACCGCTTTCCTTCAGAATAAACCTGGGGAGAAGCAAACACACATCTCATTGGCTATTGTAATGCAGTGTATGCGTGAGTGTTTAGCTTATGGGATGGAACAGTTGGTCTGAAGGTCGCTCTCCACAGGCTAGGTCAGATACGCAGACGGGCGCCATCAGTAATATGGCAACACAGAGACATCTACCCACACACAGAAACACACACGTATGCATAAGCACTTGTGCACACACAATCACAAACTCACAAAACTCACATTGTGTCACATGAAGAACCAGACATGTTCAGCATAACATAGTAACAGTTATTGGTTTGTTTCAAGTCAGTAATAATAACTGAACAGTAAGAAATTCAGATTGTTTTAGTAACTGTTTATTATTCACTAAAAATAACCATTCAGTTAGGAATCAGACTACACTGAATCATTCGTTCAGGAATCAGACTACACTGGTCACGCTGAATGTTTTTGATCCTCTAAAAAGAACCAGTTCATAAAAGTTGTTTATTCATGAATCAGACAAAGGCCCAATCCCAATTCTATTTTATACCCCTTCCCCTTCCCCTACCCCTACCCCTAAAAATATTCCCCTAAGGATTGGGACACCACTACTATGCCGTCACACGTCATCATACGTCGTCTAGCTCCTACAATA